TATATAATGGTACCTGGTAGTGTATATTTTAAAAAGCGTATCATCCCCTGTTATGTTTGGCCTATATTGTTTACTGGTTAATATTCTGTATATATTTGGGTTTTTTAAAGTTGATTTTCAGTTGTATCCCATTGCCCAGAAGTTTTCTTTTTTTTGCAGGATCAGAGCCCCTTTGGTTGTGAAGTTGCGTAGTTATTTGACTGATAAATTGCTCATGCTTGAGCATATGATGTGCTTCTGATTCCTATGATTCCTGGAGAGAAGAGAAGAGTGCTAGATGTTCGAATATGGAATTATAAGGTAAGTAAACACTCACTGGCCATTTTATTGGGTACATCTTGCTAGTGCCAGGTTGGACCCCCTTTGCCTTCAGAACTGCCTTAATTCTTCATGACATAGGTTCAACAAGGTGTTGGAAACATTCCTCACAGACTTTGGTCCATATTGACATGAGTTACTGTTGCCTTTCTATCATCTCAAACCAGTCTGCCCATTCTCTGACCTCTAACATCAACAAGGCATTTTGGTCCACACAACTGTTGCTCACTGGATATTTTATCTTTTTTGGACCATTCTGTGTAAATATCAAAGATGGTTGTGCATGAAAATCCCAGTAGATCAGCAGTTTTTGAAATACTCAGATCAGCCTGTCTGGCACCAACAACCATGCCATGTTCAAAGTCACTTAAATCCCCTTTCTTCCCCATCCTGATGCTCGGTTTGATCTTCAGCAAGTCGCCTATGCTAATGATACACACATCTATCTTTCTACTCCTCCCCTCGCCCCTTCAATCTCCTCTTGCATTACTAACCTACTAAGTGACATAGCATGGATGTCACTCCACTTCCTCAAACTCAATCTTTCTAAAACAGAGGTCATACTATTCCCTCCAGCCCGTGCCCCCTCCCCTGACTTCTCCATCAAGATCAATAATACAACCATCAGTCCCACCCCTCATGCCAGGGTACTAGGTGTAATCCTAGACTCCCATCTGTCCTTTCAGCCCCCAATCACTGTCCAAATCTTGTAGACTTCACCTCTGCAACATCTCCAAGATACGCCCGTTTTTAACCTCGGAAACCACTAAGCAACTTATTCACTCCCTTGTTATATCTCGCCTTGACTATTGTAACTCCCTCCTCATTGTCCTACCTAATCGCAGGCCATCCCCTCTTCAATCTATCATGAATGCTGCTGCCAGACTCATCCACCTTACCAACCATTCCATGTCTGCCATCCCTCTCTACCAATCCCTCCACTGACTTCCCATTGCCCAATGAATAAAATCAAAACATTAACAATAACATATAAAGACATTTATAACTGCCCCAAATTACATCACCAATCTTGTCTCCAAATATCACTTAAACCGGGTGTCGGCAACCCGCGGCTCCATAGCCGCATGCGGCTCTTTTTCACCTTGGCTGCGGCTCCGGAGCACACTGCCCACCAGGTGACAGGCAATAGGGCAGCAATGGGCAAACTACGGGACCTTTTAATCCGGCCCGCGGAGCTAGGCTCCCGCTAGGCTCCTCTCACAGTCCGCCCTGAAGACCGGTGTAGCATGAAAATCTGTCTCCTATGAGGATCTGTCCCCCTCGACATATCTGCGCATGTGCCGGAGATCGCCGATTGGCTGCTAATGCCTGAAACTGGCACATGCGCAGATACGTCGAGGGGGAGAGATCCTCATAGGAGACAGATTTTCATGCTACACCGGAACGGCGCGGGAACACGGCGAGAGGAACGCGCGGAGCAAAGGTAAGTGAATTGACACAGGGGGGACTTGGAGACTTAATATGGGGGATGAATTAATATGGGGGATGAATTACTATGGGGGATGAATTACTATATGGGGGATGAATTACTATGGGGGATGCATTACTATATGGGGGATTAATTACTATGGGGGATGAATTACTATGTGGGGGATGAATTACTATGGGGGATGAATTACTATGTGGGGGATGAATTACTATATGGGGGATGAATTACTATATGGGGGATGTATTTTCAGTTTAAAAATGTGGCTCTCAAAATAAATTTCAATCGTGGTTTTGGCGAGATTTGGCTCAGTTGAAAAAAAAGGTTGCCCACCACTGGCCTAAGGCTATGATTGTGATTATGACGATACACTGTGGCCCTGATTAACCCTTTGCTTACTGGGCCCTTAAACCCCCTTCATGACCAGAGCGCTTTTTGCAATATATGCAGTGTCGGATTTATTTTAAATGTTGCAATGGTTTTGCGGCTCCCAGTCTTTTTTTCCCTCTCGGAAACGGGTCCAAGTGGCTCTTTATGTCTTAAAGGTTGCAGACCCCTGACCTAAACTGTCCTCTATGCTCCTTCCACAACGACCTCCTGCTCTCTAGCTCCCTTGTCTCCTCCTCCCATGCTTGTCTCCAGGACTTCTCCAGAGTCTCACCGATCTTCTGGAACTCTCTACCCCAATCTATCCGACTATCGCCTACTCTGCCCACTTTTAGACGATCTCTGAAAACCTATCTCTTCAGGGAAGCCTATCCTGCCTTCAGCTAATAACCAAATCTACTATTTCTCCTATCAGTTCATCCCCCACAGTTATTACCTTTTGTACCACCAGCCCCTCCCTCTTAGACTGTAAGCTCCAAGGAGCAGGGCCCTCCTAACCCTCTTGTATTGACCTGTATTGTTGCTGTATTGTCTCCCGTTATATTGTAAAGCGCTGAGCAAACTGTTGGCGCTATATAAATCCTGTATAATAATAATAATATTAAGTCATCTTCACCACATCTAGATGCCTAAATGCATTAAGTTGCTGCCATGTGATTGGCTGATTAGCAATATGTGTTACCAAGCAATTGAACAGGTGTACCTAATAAAGTGGCCAGTCAATGTAATTGCCTTTTCTGTTCCCCCTAAATGCAACATTCATTTAACCCTTGCAGTGCAGGGGGAGCCCCTACCACAAGGCTCATTTTTAAATTTTCCAGAGCTTATCTTTAAGGGAAATTAAATTATACACAAAAAAGTATAAAACACAGTCTGGAAACAAAAAGAAAAGCATATAAGTTTACTTTTATTGTATATACAGCAATTCTATATAAAGGAAATACTTTGGATGGCTTTAGGGTGGAATAAATCCCTCTAATTATAAAAGTGTTTTTATATGCAGAGAGAGCATTAAAAACATTGCCAGAGGTTCTTCATCACTCTAAATGTGTGTGTGTGTTTTTTTTTTCTCTCTCCTGACAGGAAGTGAAGGAAAATCTCCTCAATATGGCAATAAAGACCTGACAGAGGCTCCAATCCTTTATCCAAAACAAAATACAAGCGTTTAACTGGAGTTGATTATTAAAGGTATTACCCTTAGTTACTTGTTTTGTATAATTCCTTTAAAAACCAACTCCAGCTACACTTAGTAGGATTCAGGACTGCTCATTTTAATAATAGCAACTCATAAAATTTATTTTAAAAATGTAACAATACTGAGGAATGTTATGTAAAATTGTTCATACCACCTTCCAGTAACAATGACTTTAAAACTATGTTGTTACAAGAGAATATGTCTGTGGTGCAGCATCATTACATAGTGTGCATTACTTTGTGACCTCACTTCAGAGAAGAATCAGCGAACCAGATAGATGGCACAAATACATTGACCGCTTGCCCACTGCCCTATGGCCGTTGTACTGCTACAAGGTAGCTGCACTGTGCAAACTCATGTAAATACACGTGATTTTGCATTTCCAGGTAGGGGGCGTGTGCACCTCCCTAACCACGCTGCTATTGGCTTCTGGGGATGTCAATCACCGAGTCCCGGCTGCCGATTCCCAGCTGGGATTCGGTGATAGAGAAGCTGAGAGGGGGGAGGTTTCTCTCCTGTCATCATGGACATGCTGCTTTCTATCTCTCTGCACAGCAGAGAGATAGAAAGCAGCAGGTCTCCTTAGTAAAAGAGCACACAGTACACAGTCTAACTACTCCCTAACACACTTCCTGTCACTCCCTAACATACAGTTAACCCTCTGATCGCCCCAGATGTTAACCCCTTCCTGCCCAGTGTAATAATTATAGTGTCAGTGCTTTATTAGCACTGATCACGGTATTAATGTCACTGGAGATGTCAGTGGATGTTAGTCAGTTCCCACCCAGTGTCACAATGCCAGCCGCAGTCCCACTATAAGTCACTGTGATCGCCGCCATTACTAGTATATAAGAAAAAAATAAATAAAAATTCCAGTATATATACTGCCATTTGTAGATGCTATACCTTTCACTTAAACCAATCAATATACACCTATTGGGATTATTTTTGGCAAAGACATGTAGCAGAATAACTTTTTGGCCTGAATTTTTGAAGAAATTTAATATTTTTTTTATTAGATATGTTTTAGAGCAAAAAATATTGTTGTTTTTAAAAAAATTTCAGTCTTTTTTTTTTATACCATTTATACCGCAAAAAAAAAACAAAAAAGCAGAGGTGATGAAATACCACCAAAAGAAAGTTCTATTTATGGGGAAAAAAACAACATAAATTTTAGTTATGTACAGCGTTGCATACCAGCGCAATTATAAGTTAAATTAACGCAGTGCCGTATTGCAAAAATGGCCTGGTCAGGAAGGGGGTAAATCTTCCAGAGGGTAGGTGGTTAAAATGTTAGGATATATTTATTCTTCTGTATTGTGGTATGTAGTTCTGTACACAACAATTGTCTTAAATGTGCACTCAAATACACAATAATTTACTTAATTCTTCCCCAGTTTAGTCTCATTATTCAACAGCAGGACAACATGCTGACTCAGAAGTCAACTAAGGGACACCAACATGGCCAAAATGTCTAGTTGGGGGAAAAAAGCAGACAGGCACACAGCAATCCACAGCACAACTGTATTTTTGGGTAAAAAGTTCTTATGCATCATATTATATTGAAATTGGTCTTAAACACTTCAGTAAAGAGGTTACTCTGCATTCCTGAACAAACAAGATCCATGCTGTACAAAACAGAAGATGTTGTACCTGCCATTGATGTCATTATGAGTCTAGAAAATAGAAAACAAATGTCTATTATAAGTAACATGTCTGGAAGCGCATTGTAGAGCAAAATGATAAAATAATGTCTTGCGAATACAAAGTCATACATTAGTGTGTGGGATGCTCTAATGTTTACAAAACTATGCAAGTGCATCCACGGTATCTGTGTTAGGCCAGAGGGTCCCACTGTTCAGTGTACAGCAGGTACATTCTTGCCACTTTGGAAAACAGTTTAGAAAACTCTGATAAATAAAAACAGCAATAAAAAGGTATTTTAAAGATAAATTCCTTGCCATAAAGGAAATATGGGAGATGTCAATGTTGACCGTTTTTAAAAAGTTAATCATGTTAGTATTTCGTGTTTAATACATTCAGAGTCATTTAAAAAAAAAGTGCATAGATCAAGAAAGTTAGAGAGAAGTTAGGGGTCCTTATTTGAGAACCTGTCTTGGGTCAGTTACTCAAGGTACTGAAGCCAGAGTTAGTCAGGTGTCAGGGAACTAGCATTTTTAGAAATTAGGGTCAGGATTGGCAGTCTCCATGTTCATTCATGACAGGTTTACTTTAGAGTGATTTTTGTAGCTATTTTTTAAAGGTGAAATCAAGAGCTCAAGCAACAATATCCAAAGAGAAAAGCACTAACATTTCTCTTGTACCATAACAGAACAAAACAATTTTCGTTTAATCAAAACAGTATTAGTTCGGAAAAAAAAAAAATCAAGAGACCAAGACCACTCATGCTCAAATGCAAAAGAATACATTGCAATACAATGCAATACATTACATCACTTACAAAGTTGTATTCTGTTGTTCGAGACTTTTTGTAACTTTAGAAACCTCCTCATTTTCAAAATGAGACTAGCATGCAAAAAAACAAAACAAAAAAAAACCGAACGCCCATTCGTCGCCAATTTTCTCATCATGTGTATTGGGCATAAGACATTTTCAAATGTATGTTTTACTACACCATCAATTGTATTTTACATGTAAATTCAATTAGAATTTAAGCCCATGTTTATGATGAATTTTCATTCATTTTCCAAAATTACAAGACATGGGAAGATGGAGTAGCAAATAGTGGTGTAGTCGATATATTGGCAGGTAAAACAATTCACATGTGTGTTTCTAAACTACGTATTTAGTTTCTTGGCTGTAGTTCTCTTTGATGTTGAAAACAACTGATTTTTACAGCAAAGTCTAGAAGACAAACATTCTAAAATTTTAGCCCTATGGGGGCCAAGTAAATGTTTTTTTGCTGTCTTCTGTTCTCTGTGATTGGAATACAATGTACCATTACTGGTAGCAAGGATAACGATGTATGTGACTAGTGATTGACAGGTATGGATAAAGGAGTACAAAGGGGTGGAACACTGTTAAGTATGGTTATGTTTTTCATTTACACAAGCCTTTTATTAAGGAAAACCACACATTTGTAAGACTTACCGCCAGAAAAGCAATAGCATCCAGTTGATCCAGGTCCTTGGCTGCTTTCTCCAGGATTTCTTTTGCTGTATCCACATTTTGTTGGAAACTGACCATCTGGTCATATAAATAATCCATCTTCATCTTCTTCACTTCCTGAAAGCTCTCCCTCTTTTCCTTGTGCTGGGCAATCACTTTTTCTACCATCTTTTCATTCTGTTCTGCCAAACTCTTCTCAGCTTCTGTACAGTTTTTCTAAAGATAGTATAAAATGTCACTGATGACACTCATAGTCCCCTAATCCCCCAGAAACATAAGAGTCTTTCTTCACTGTAGACCGGCATTCTCCAAAAGGTAACCAAAGACATAAATTAACATCATTAGAAAAATTTGATAAGCAACAAGTTCCTGTTTGTGGGTACCTGCCTTCACCGCTGGCCAAGAGATCTCAGAATAAACAACAGTTAGAATAGCTGTTTTGATTGCTTTTCTTTCCATTATGATAAACTGGTGCCAGAGTTGTCTGCTCTAGACTCTACAAATTGAACTAACTGAAAATCATAGCATATCTAGGCATTTATTGACATCACCAAAATTGCATCTCTTTGACTTTTGTTTCTTCAAACTTTTTCACTACCTCGGTTTTACTGGATTTGTAGCCCCCCCCCCCCCCCCCCCGAGGAAATGGATATTTTTTGGCTCCTAAAGCACGTTGACTTCTTTTATTCCATCTCCATTAGCAGAATTTACTTTGGAGTTCTGTCACTTTCATTATACTCAACTGGTGTTTCGTGGCCTCGTTCTATAGATCCTTGAGAGGGACTTTTTAATGTGAGCAGACTGATGTGCTCCTAATTCTCCTAATGTCTCCAGCATCAACAAAATAAGAGGACCTATTGCACTATTATCCATCCCAAACCAGTGCCATCGTACATGTCCATTTATTAATCATGAAAAGGACAGCTTAAAAAAACGAATAAAATACTATCTAAAAATGTTTAAACCAGAAACCATTTGTGACGGTCATTTTGCGGTCACTAGGCTCCCATACTGTCAATAAAATTAGCAGACTGAATATAGGAGTGATTGGAACAGCTTGAGACCTAAGATCTATAGATCCAGCAATATATGGCACTGTAGTTGAAAGCTATTCACCCAGCCATTGTGAATAAAAAGAGAAAAGATAAATCTGTTATCTGGTCTGTTCTCCTTCTCTTTCGTATTTCCATCAGTTCAGGATAATAGCCAAACCTACTTTTGCAGATACAGCTGTATAGATCACAGCTACATTTGTTCCAATAAAAATATGTCAGATGATCACAGTCAGAAACTTACTTCAACTTCATTAAACAACGCCTCCACCCTGGGAACAAATTCTTCAGTTTTCAAGGAGCTTGCTTGCAGCTTCTCTAGCAATTCCTCCAAATTACTCTGAAAACATAAAACATGTTCATTTTTCATATGCATCTTTTTAATCACCACTCTTGGAAAATGTTCATTCAATGATTTAATTGTGTAGAAAAAAAAACAATCACAGACATGCCTCAAACCTATTTCCATTTAACATTCCAACCTTCTGGCTTTAGGAAACACTTAAAAAATAAAAAAGAAAGAAAACTGTAGTCAATTGCAACTGTTTTTGCAGATCAAGCAAAGAAACAAAATATGGAATCACTCAATTCTGAGGGAAAGATTATGGAATCAGCATGTACTTTGCAGTTCTAAAACAAACATCTACATCAGATTACATCTGCTAATTAGTCTGCAGGTAAAAAAGAGTGCTTGCACACCTTGGTGAGCTGTTGCACCAAGCTGATTGACATGAATCATGACTCCAAGATGTCAGTTGAAACAAAGCAGAGGATTATAAAACTTCTTCAAGGAGGTGAATCGGAATGTTGCAAAAGATGTTGGTTGTTCCCACTCAGATGTGTCTAAAATCTGGACCAAGTACAAATCAAATGGGAAGGTTGTTAAAGGGAAGTGTACTGCTAAACCAAGGAAGACATTAAAGTGTCAAGATAGAAAACATAAAGCAATATGCCTTGAAAACATAAAATGCACAAAAAAACAAATGAGGAACTAATGGACAGAAATTGGAGTCAATGTCTGTGACTGAACTGTAAGACATCATACGAAATGTGAGTTACATACATAAAAGACAAACAAAAGCCATCATTAACACCTAAAAAGAAAAAAACAAGGTTACAGTGAGCTAAAGAAAAGCAGTCATGGACTGTGGATGACTGGATGAAAGTGATATTCAGTGATGAACCACAAATCTGCATTGGACAGGGTGATGATGCTGGAACTTTTGTTTGGAGCCATTCCAATGAAATGTATAAAGACGATGGCCTGAAGAAATCATGCAAATTTCCACAGTCATTGATGATATGGGGTCGCATGTCAGATAAAGGTATGGGGGAGATGACAGTCATTAAATTTCCAATAAATGCACAAATTTATATTGAGATTTTGGACACTTTCCTTATTCCATCAATCGAAAGGATGTTTGGTGTTGACATAATTTTTTAGGGCGATAATACATCTTGCCATAGAGCAAAAGCCATGAAAACTTTCCTTGAAGAAAGACATATATTGTCAATGGCATGGCCTGCAAATAGTCCGGACCTCGATCCAACTGAAAATCTATGGTGGAAATGAAAGAAAATGTTCCATGACAAGGCTTCAACCTGCAAAGCTGCTCTGGTAACTGCAATAAGAGAAAGTTAGAGTCAGATTGATGAAGAATACTTTTTGTCGATAGTTAAATCCATGCCTCAGATAATTCAAGCTGTTATAAAAGCCAGAGGTGATGCAGCAAAGTACTAGTGGTGTACTGTAGTATTTTTTTTTCATGATTCCATAATATTTTCCTCAGAATTGAGTGATTTCACATTTTTTTCCTTTGCTTGTTCTGCAAAAACATTTACAACTGACTACAGGTTTCTTTCTTTTTTATTTTTTAAGTGTTTCTTAAAGCCAGAAGGTTGGAATGTTAAAATAAAAATAGTTTTGAGGCATGCCTGTGATTAGCTTTTTTCCTGCACAATTAAACAATTGAATGAACATTTTCCAAGAGTGGTGATTCCACACTTTTTGCCAGGGGTTGTATGATGAAGTACTGCTTGGTTCAGTTTGTGACATTATGGGGTTGATTTACTGAAGGGGCAGAGCACATTCTCTTTGCAAATTTGTAAATTTCCCCCTAGCTCTGTGAATGGAGTTAAAAGTTTACTTTGCAAAGAATACCCATTCATATGCAAGGACATTCTTAACAGATTTTTTTCCTGCACTGAATGGATGATTGAAGCAGCTCAGCTTCACCCCACTCACTAAGCTAAGTAAAAATACACTTTGCTAAGTGAACAGCCTATATATAGTATAGTTAATCAACCCCAGTGTTTGGACTGTGCGGTCACTTGAGTTTTTTCTTTGGGCAGTGTTCATTGTCATTCCGTCTGTAGGTTTGCACAGTCCATCATGGGAAAAAGTGATGGACCTGGGAACTCAACACTAGTAAGGTGGTCATATTGGAGCAGCATAGAACAGACATGTTATAGCTGCTGGGTTGGAGGCTAAGCTGAGAGCATCAACCATTCCTCTGACCTAAATATCACTGCTGCTCACACTGCCAGGTATTAAAGTCACAAATTACTGCAGCAATGTAATCATTAATACATCATTAAATGTATTTTTTAAATACAAGCAGAGTAAGTACCTGAAATTTGACCTAGCATCAGCCTCTTGCAGTCCATGTACTGCAGGGCTGAGTGGTGAGAAGAAGAAGCAGTACAAGGAGCCAATGTCCTATCATGTCCTGACAAGATGTATGCTTACATCGAAGAAAGCCGAATGACAGAAAGATGACTTCATCACTGTGCTGCTTCTCCTTTCACTGTTCATTCACAGTCTAGGGTGAGTCCAGGAGAATCTGGGCTCAGAGGAAGTTGGTTGAATAATTCTGTCCATCAGAAAAAAGTACTGTGGGGAAATCTCTGGACTAAAGCTGGCTATTACTCTTGGTAAAAGCTGGTTTTGGTATTTTATCTTTGCATGTGCTACTCATTTGTATCTTTTTTTTAATTTTCTGCTGAAAACATTGTTTTTTGCCCATGTAGAGCAAAGACACAAGTTAACTTTAATGGCAACTCCACCAGCAGCTTAGGGTGATCTGACGCTGAAGTGGTTTTCTCGCAGCGCACGTGCAGCGCAGAGTACCAGTGGGTTACCTGCACTTTATCATAGACTTCTATTTAATTGGATGGTTTTGGTGTGTTTTCCAAAAGGGCACCAACATTCTTGCATACAAATGCTCTTTTAGAAAACACACCAAAACTAGAAGTCTATGCAGGTAACCTGCATAAAATCCGCGGTCACACTGTATCACACCTGCTCAGCAAGAAAACTGTGCTGCATCAGTGTGAAAGCGACATAATATTTCCCTTCCCTTCAGTCCCCATGGGAGTATAAAGAAATACCCATTACACACACTGAACACACTCCTGTCAGTGCTGTTGCTTGGCACGTGGGGTGAGTGGATCTGTTTCCTGAATTTGTGATGTGTAATGCTGACTATACACCATACAATATGTAGTAGTTTTGGCAATTCTAATGGAGATTGTCCAGTCAGATTGTATAGTGTATGGACAGCTTAAGTTCCTCTCCTTTTGAGTGATGAAATATTTGAACCTGCCTGGTGGCTGCGATTAAACAGTTCTCTTGAAATTAAAGTGATTGTAAAGATTTTTTATTAAAATAACAAACATGGTATACTTCTCTGCTATGTGCAATGGTTCTGCAAAGAGCAGCCCCAATTCTCCTTTTCTGGGGTCCCCTGCCAATGCTTCTGGCTCATCCTGCCTTCTGAGTGCCCCCATAGCAAGCTGCTTGTTTTGAGGGCACTCGTGCAGGCTTTATCCTTAGCCGCACTGTGCGCATCTATTTGACATATACACAGTGTGCCTGCCCCCCCAATACATTCTTACTGAATTTGATTGGCAGCAATGGCCCAATGAGGAGGGGGAGAGAGAGCAGGACCACTGCTCTCTGGCACAGAACTGGATTGAGTTCAGGCTCAGGTAAGTATTTAGGTGGGGGCAGGGGGGGGGGGGAGCTGTACCTTAAAAGTTTTCACCTTAATGCAGAGAATACATGAAGGTAAAAAACCTTTAGCCTTTACAACCACTTTAATGCATATGTAAATGAAAACCTTTTTTTTATTGCTTTGAATAGAATGGGTTGCAACCCCTTTAAGTTGAATTGCAATAGAGAGGGAATCTTCTAGTGGGAAAGCTTGTTCTGTTGACTGATGTCCAGAAGGGGATTTACCTCACTTTGGAGAGCATTTGGAAGTGAAGGAAAACTTCTCAAATGGGACACAAATGGCAAATAAAAAACCTGACAAGGGTTTTACATTTACCCAATCTATTCAAAATGAATAAAAGGTAGGGCTTTGGATACAGTACCATACTGAGAGAATAATTAATCGGTCTGCTATATATGTGAGAGACAGCAAAACGGTTCTGCTGGATGTGTTCTGGGAATGTCTTTTCTGCATGACAAAATAGGAAACCAACAAAACTCCTGCCTGATCTAACCTAATAGATTGGTTTGTGTATGCTGATTTGACTCAATGTGCTATGATTCCTAGATTCTGCTGCACTACAGTAATGTCTACAAGTAGCTAAAATCTAAACATGTTTTTCCCTTTTCTTTGTGGGTGTCTTAACCTCTTCCCATCTACCCATAAATGATAGATGGTGGATGGGAAGCTTTGCCAATATGGGCTAACATACCTGTACTGTACATCACCCGCATCGGCGGCTGCTGCGCATCCCACAGAGCGTGCACCCGGTGATCACATGGTGTTTTAGTATATGACTGCTGTGTTCAATCACAGCAATCACATAGTATACAATGCAAAGTGAAACTAAATATCACTTCTATCTGCTCTCATTGTGAGAGCAGAGATAAGTGATGCTGCAACCTGTGAGTGTACAGCAGCCTGCCAGGCTGCTTGTACACTCAAGACTGCAATGGCAGCCCCACAAGTGTCTCTGATCATTGCCCCAGTGTTCCTGATCACTGCCCCAGTGTAGGGACAATAAACAATGCAGCCAGCCCTGTCACCTGTCCCAGTGCGAACAAAACCACCACCATACACCATAACAGCACCCTGATCACTGCCATGCCCCACACCAGTGCCCTGATCACCGCCATACCCCATACCAGCACCGTGATCACCGCATACGCCATACCAGTACCCTGATCAGCACCCTGATCGCCGCCATACACCATACCAGCACCCTGATCACCGCCATACCCCATACCAGCATCCTGATCACCCCATATGCCATACCAGTGTCCTGTTCACCGCCATATCCCTGACCAGCGCCTTGATCCCCACCATACCCCATACCAGCACTCTTATCACCGTCATACACCATACCAGTAGCCTGATCAGCACCCTGATCACCGCCATACACCATACCAGCATGCTGATTACCGCCATACCCCATACCAGCATCCCGATCACCGCCATACCCCATACCAGCAACCTTGATCACTGCCATACCAGCGTCCTGATCACCCCCATACCAGCATCCTGATCACTGACATACCTCATGCTAACATACTGATTACGGCCATATGTCATACCATTTTTGGGCCACAACTGATCCATTTTCATATATATATCCCTTAGTTTACAGCTTTCACACAGACTAAATAATATACATTGTTTTTGGTTATCTTTACCCCAACAATGTAGCAGAATACATTTTGGCCTAAATTTATGAAGAAAAATTATTTATTTGCAAAAACTATGCAAAAATTATTTTTCTTTCAAATTTTTTTCATTTGTATAGCAAAAAATAAAAAAAAACAGTGGTGATCAAATACCACCAAAAGAAAGCTTTATCTGTCTCAAAGAAATTAAAAAATTTCATATGGGTACGGCGTTGCATCATTGAGTAATTGTCACTCAAATTGTGATAGTGCTGAAAGCTGAACATGTGCCTAGACTGGAAGGGGGTGAAAGTGTCCGGACGTGAAGTGGTTAAATTACTACTTTGTAAAATAATTTATGCTTTCTAAACAGCCATGGTGAGGCAAGAATACTGTGGATACATGTGCCTGGGATCCAAGGTGTTCTGATCAGTAGCAGTTGCTCAGTTGGTACAACTCAATGACAGGCAGAAAGGGGCTCTCTGCAGCTGTAAACATGAATCTGCATGTATGAGCATATCCAGTGATTATCTGCGGTTAGGGCCAGATGTCTTACCATGAACACAGTCAAATTGTGCCCAGGCCAAACATTTGTCCCTAACCGCAGGTAGCTGCTGGATGTGAGGGTCATGCTTAAAAAGCTGCAGACAGCACTGGCTCCTTCCAGTCTAACATTGAATTGAACAAGCTGTGTACACTGCTAATCAGAATACCCGGAATCCCTGCCACAGGTATCAGTACCTTATCGTACCATGGCCAATTAAAGACATGTGACTGAGGCCTTAGGAATCCTGTAGGGACATGGCCCCCTATCCATCTGGATTAACAACATCTTTTGCTTGGCTTTAAACCATATTGTTGTACAATATACTTGTTTGCTCCATAGAAATAGCAAGCAGAGACAGAAAACATCAGTGCATAAAGTTAAATTGGAGCTCCACCCAAAAGTGGAAGTTCCACTTTAAGGACTGGTCCCCCACTCCCCGTTAAGGATTGACACCTTTGGGGAGTGGGTTGAGTGCGTACCAGAAATTGACGGATACCTGTTCCCACATCTGCTGCGATCGCCTGGGGTAATTAGAAGCAGAAGTTGTCCTCCCCCCCTCCATGTGACAGGTCCCAGAAGACTACGGAACCATTCAGAAAGTGCTGCGCTACTCCTGCATGCTAAGTCACGCGCTGTCACAGCCGGGTGCCCACACTGAAGATGCCGGTGCCAGGAACACAAGATGGATGGTAAAATGAGCTGTAGGGAGGACACCATGGGACAGGTAAGAGGCTGTTTCTTTAAAGTCAGCAGCTACAGTTTTTGTAGCTGCTGGCTTTTATTTTTTTTTTACACTTTGGCTGGAACTCTACCCTATGGGACTGCTTGAAAGTTTTAGAAAAGCCAGCAAATGGCTTAGCCTAATACACTGCCTATAATACATTGCCTAAAACTGAAAAAAAAATTTTTAGTGGAAGAAATGAACATGGCATACCTTAAAGGCATTATGGCCTGCTGCTTCAGTGGTACATTGTTCCCACTAGGCTGGCAGGTGTCTCTGTCAGTTCTTCTACACAATGTGGTTGCCCTGATAAATGGCTCCTTTCTACATATCTGGTGGACCTGCCCAGTGGACCAGCACTTTGGCAGCAGGTGTACCAGCTCCTATGCCGACCCTATCTGAGACTTTGCTTAACCGCAAACTCCAGGGGATTTCCAAATCTCATTTTGTCCTTATGACCCACATCCTCATCGCTGCAAAACAAGTTATAACCAAGGCCTGGCTATCACAACACATTCCTAATTCGGAGGTTAAATGTCAGGTCCACTGTACCATGACCAATATAAAACCAACAGCACGACTCCATAATACCCAAAATCTATCGAATTTGGGACCCTTGAATTACAGCAATCCTCCCAAAGAACTTTGACCATCACCTGCAGGACCTGTGAAGGTATGTTTCATAACACCTAAAACCCCCTTGGCTGACTCTTGCCCCCCACCCTGCCCCCATTCCGTGCAAACTATATTCCTTCTCCTGCCCCAACATACCCCCCCCCCCCCCCCCCCCACACACACACACATACTTCTGCTACCTCTTCCCCACTCTCTTTTTGTTTTACTTGTCTCCTTCTTCAGATACATGGGATCCATATGCAACTATATTGATCATCTGATAATAAAACATATAGTAAGCGCTCATCAACAGTTACAGCAGCTGAACATTAAAGGAAAACGCATAAAAAGTCCCAAAATTCATATATATACAAAATGCAGCGCTCTTAGAAAATGATGACAAATATTGGTGAAACACAGTCCGGTGAAAAAAGTGCTCCATGATTCCCAGTGCAAATGGTAGAAATTCACACTAACCAGAAAGCGTATAAGTAATACGCATATGTATATATATCCTGAAGACTCCCCTCTCCTCTCAGGTCTGGTCAGAGAAATAGCTGGGAAAGATGGAAATCCTACACCCTCATGTGGTGAAAGAATGGTCCAGCAGGTCAGAGAAGTATCAATCTGGATAAGCCTCCCCCTTCACAGGAGCTGACACAGGGATCACTTAGGGCTGCAAGGATTGAAGAAGCTCCTGAGTGACAAGGGGCAATGACTGCCAAGAAGAACAGACACAAGTTTTTCTGATAGTAGACAAAATTAATACTATTATGGGATCACAGTATACTATTCATATAGTGTGTTAGGAGTCCCAGCATGGGTGTCCTTGTGTCTGTGGAACTCTCACCGATGTAAGGAACCAGAAGGGCGGCTTCACTGAGTGGCAGTCTTGGCAGTCATTGCCCCTTGTCACTCAGGAGCTTCTTCAATCCTTGCAGCCCTAAGTGATCCCTGTGTCAGCTCCTGTGAAGGGGGAGGCTTATCCAGATTGATACTTCTCTGACCTGCTGGACCATTCTTTCACCACATGCGGGCGTAGGATTTCCATCTTTCCCAGCTATTTCTCTGACCAGACCTGAGAGGAGAGGGAAGTCTTCAGGATATATATACACATGCGTATTACTTATACGCTTTCTGGTTAGTGTGAATTTCTACCATTTGCACTGGGAATCATGGAGCACTTTTTTCACCGGACTGTGTTTCACCAATATTTTTCATCATTTTCTAAGAGTGCTGCATTTTGTATATATATATTGATCATCTGGTACTGAGACTAAGTATCCTTACATGTCTTTAATAAGAAACCAGTACTGCCAATCATATATATGTTGATAATTAGATAAAAGGTCTCAAAACCTTGTCTTTTTATAAAACCTACTGTATACATTTTTTGTTGTGATGAAGCTTGAATGAACACTATGTCCTGTTCTTCTTGATACTTATTACAAGTATTGAACAAGAAAAAAAGTATTATGGTGTGGTTATTTTTATGGTTAGCAGGTTTTTTTTTTTTTTTTTGCTATATAAAACAAATATTGGGACTGGGATTTCTGACTTGGTACATTCTTGTTCTGGGTGAGTTGCTCAAAAAGTATTAAATCCAGAGGATGTCAGGCAACTAGCATTTTAGAAGGCGGTTTTAGAAAAGGCGGTATACATATTCATCTCTACACAGATTGTATTTAATGTTGATAAGCAAGCGAATGAGCTTAGAAAACAAGTGTACAAATTAGGCCTCATGGGTTACAGCATCTGGCAGAGTAGTAGCAAAGCCTTAAACTATGTTAGTCATCAATGAAAACAGAAAGTTTGATATTTATGTGACACCCTTTTTATTGCCTTAGGCCCCTTATAGATGGGGCGGACTCCATCCTAATCAGCAGGGGATCCACTCACAGATCCCCTGCTGATCAGAGCTGAGTGGGCGGATGACACATCCACGGGCCGCTCAGTTTATGCAGACAAAGCTCACTTTGCTCTATAAGTAGCTGGGTGTAATCAGACTCCGCTGTCTGTTTACACCTGCCTACCCTCCGATCCACTTAAACAGAAAAGGACAGATTCCCTTCTATTTTTTTTTTTTTTTAGTGGACCGGATCGGACCCGGAGGTAGGCGGATGTAAATGGAAAGTCTGTTTACACCCGTCTGTTCTTAGGGGTAAATGGACCATCTGATTAGGTACGCCTGAAAAACTGACAGGTAGACCTTATCGGACCTGCCTCGTGAAAGGGGCCTTAATCAAACAAATAGACTTGTTCAGATTCTCAGAGACAGTTCATCTTTCAAACTTTTTCAACATTATGTGCACTTGTTTTCTTAAGGAGTAAAGACTTACCGTCATTGAATTCACTGCATTTTCTACAGTTGTAACATCATGGTTTTTGTGATCACCAAAAACTTTATCAATAGCCATTATGGGAATCTTACAAGTGTTGCAGAAAGTGTCAATCTGAGCCTTTTTATCTTCTTCTTGAGAAGTTTCTGATACCTGCTTGGATATATCAGCCTGTGGCTTCTCCTGCTCAATAATCTCAAAGCCAGAGTTTTCCTTTTCTTCTGTGGGTTCTTGCACAGAATCCAGATATAAGTCACTCCCACGTTCTAAAGATTCTTGATCTTCAAATGTGATTTCTTTCAAAGAAACGTCGTCTTCCTCAAGGTCATCTGGAGAAACAATGACATAGTCCAGGGTCTCATCAATTACTTCCTCATCTGCAATACATTTCTGTTTTGTAATGTGAGGTTTTGGTGATTCTGTTTTTATAATGTCCACATTGTGCCTGTTATTAACACTTTCCTGCAAACTTGTAGAATCTATTTCATGTTGTAGTGAAACAGGAAGCTCTCTTGTTGGTGTCTCCCTTGTAGGTATTTTTGAAAAAGCAGATGGTGTGTCTTCTTTATCTTTTCTAGTTTCAGATTCCAGACTTTCTTTAGGCAAAACTTCATAGCTTAAATATTGTTCTTCTTCACTGCCCTCATCACTGTAAAACTCTTCTTCATCAGATTTGTCAGCACCAGCTGGGATCTCATCTTTGAGATTAAATTTTTCAAAATAAATTCCAGTGCCATCATCATCTGAAATTCTGCTATGAAATGTTTTTGCAGAACTGGTACTTTCTGCATCTGACCGATCATGCTCTTCTTTTGGTTTACATCCTCTTGCTTCTTCATAAAGATCTGTATAAAGGAAAGCCAAAGCAGGAGGCTCCTCTAAAAGTTCTGGGTTTATTGGGTAAGAAGTGGGGAAAAGGAAAGATTTGGTCAGTACACCTTCATCTGGATTAAATAAGGTTGCTCCATTTATTTTCTTCACCTCTTGATTGCGTGTATCTTCATCCAGGCCGGATGGTGGACCAGCTTCATGGCGTGACAAGTTATCAAAGGACACACCATAGAAAGATTCATCCAGATTATGCAGCACATAGTAGTCCTCCTCAGGGGATAGTTTTCTTTCAACAGAAAGACCATTTTCTTTTCCTGTATCATGGCAAATGTCAAATTCTTCGCTTAATTTTTTAAATTCAGTAGTAATAGGTATTTTGGTATCAATCAAAGTAAACTTTTCAAAATAATCTATGTCATGAGCAGGTTTATCGGGAGTTCCATTTTCTGAAGCTGTTTTCACATCTTCTACTGTTTTGTTATCTTTCTGATTGAGCTCTTCAGGTATGGCATCCAGTTGTGTATCATCTTCATCTAAAAGCTGTTTTCGGCAAAGCAAAGGGTTTTCCTCAAGGTATTCCAATTTGTCTTGCATCTCCTCGCTTGCATCTTCGTCAACTGTTGATATAAGATCTGGAGCTAGGATGTTTAAAATCTCTGAGCCATCTGAAACAATACTGAACACATTTGATTGTGTACTAGGTGGCTCATTTACTTGGCAAAGCTCAACTTTTGGTGGATTGCATAGTTTAGCTATGTTTTCTAAGACAGTGCTCAACTCTTCAAGAACATATGGTGGATATTTTTCAATGTCATGCTGACTTGACACTGTTTCAGCTTTTTTTTCAACTAACGATTGTGGAATACGCCCTTTATATTTTTTGGCATTTGTAACATTGGCATTTGTAACTTGTGGTTGCTTCACTGTCTCCTTGATTTTCTTGTCCTGCACATCTTTTACTGGGCAAGATGCTGAAGTTGCACTGTCATGCTTCAATTCAGGGTCCTTTTCTATATTTTCAGGCTCTAAAAGATAAGAATATATAATATATCTGATATTTTCACAGAGTTGTTGTAAAGCATATGCTAAACATACTATTTGCATTCCTTAATTGACCCATGAGGTTATTATTACTGACACTACCACTGACACCAGTGAAGGAAGGATTATTATTGGTGACACTGACACCATCGCTGAGGATATTATTGCTGATACTTACACTGATGAAGTGTTATATTAAAGGTTTATTATTGCTGCCCCATTACCAGATTTCTTTGCAAGGCCATGTCTGTGGCAGCATTTTGCTTCATCACAGGCTGGCGTAAAAAAGGGATATAGAGGTAGTATGCATGTGAGCAAAGGTGTCCCTGAGGATGGAACTTACTGGAAGGGAATTATTCCTATTATTCCTGTTATACGCATGTCTTTTCATAGCCTGATCTTTTTGAATTAGAAAATGTAAAATAAAAATGGTAGATTTAGATGTGGCCCACCACTTGACACGTATTTGCATTTAAAGTGGTTGTAAACCCTTAGATATACCCATTGAAGTGACTGGTCTCAGGAGATACACAGAAATGAAATAAATCCTCCTACATAAGTTGTACCTGTTTATCTGCTATATTTTTTTTCTCTACATTGGTTCAAATTGCTGAATTTATAAAGCATGTCTGAGAGTTTAGAAAAAGGGGGACAGGGAGATGAAAAGTACACACTGCAGAACTCAGTGAGGAGAGCTCTGAGAGCTGATTGGAGGGAAGGGACACACTGCACTCCACACAGCTCACAGAACCGGAGCTGAGGCTGTCAATGTGCCGGAGCCCCCGCCCCGTCACACTTTTTCTCTTGGTGTCAGGAACACATATCAGAGGTGACTCATGCAGATAGCATAGGAATGAGGCAGCAGACAGAAATTACACTTAGGGGTTGATTAACTAAAACTGGAGAGTGCAAAATCTGGTACAGCTCTGCATAGAAACCAAATACTCCTGATATAACCAACTGTGATCCTGTAACCTGCTGCTAGGGGTGTTATTTTTATTGTTTTTATTTTTAGAGAACTTGGATAGGTTTGAGGGAATTAGGTGGGATACTCCAAAAACAAGAACTGCATACAGCTGAAGACTTTAGGTATTCTTTTGGATAAGCTATGACGAAGTCAGTGCTTGAAACAAACATTTCACTTCAGCTTTAAGGCGGCAGTAGTAGTAGTAGCAGTAGTAGAAAACTAGAGCAGAGTCCATTTAGGCAGGAGATTAAGTGGACAAAGCTCTTTGGAACACCAGCCAGTGTCCCCTTTAGCTAGACCTGCAGATGACTCAGCCAGTGGATCGACTGCTCTCAAACAGAAGTGGCCATAGATGGATCAAAATTTGTCTGGTCCCTGCTGAAGCAGCTGAATTTCAATCCATCTATGGCCTGCTTAAAGAAAAATAATTTTCTCATAGAGTACATTTGAGGTACAGTGTTGATCAGAACTACAGTAGTGGGTGTGCTTATTTCAAATGATTTCAAAATGAGCAAAAACTGCAACCAAGCAGCGGGGAAAGTGAATAGAATTCTGGGGAGCTATCATTGGAGGAAACACAAGCAGAAGGAAGTTCCTCTATAGATGTCTTTAGCAAGAACTCATTTTAGATACTGTGACCAGTTTTAGAGACCTCACTTACAAAAAGATATTGATAGGAAAGAACAACTGCAGAGACAGGGAACAAAAATGGTGAAAGGTCTCAGGAATAAAACCATATCAAGAGAGACTACAAGAACTTATAGCAGTCCTTCACCTCAAACCACCAAAAAGTCCAACTGACTTCTGTACAACCTCCCTGCTGGAAAATTTCTGCTCGATCAGCGCTGCAGCAGTGTTCTGGTGGTGGGGAAGTCTCCCCGCTGTGAGAATACAATAACTTAGCAGGAAGGATTCCCCCATTCACCTCAAATGTGTGGTTGTGGAAAATGGGTCATCTTCTTTTCGCTCAACTTGCTGGCTGAAAAAAACAAAACTCACCCATCTATAACCAGCTGAAAGTGGTTGTAAAGACTGAAGGTTTTTTACCTTCATGCATCCCCCACAGCCCTCTTATACTCACTGAGCCCCCTCTTGATCCAGCAATGTGCAACGGAGCCTCAACTATCCTGGGCCTCTCTTACTTCACTGGCTGAGACCAAGCAGCAAGAGCCATTGGCTGCCCCTGCTGTCAATCACAGCCAGTGAGCCAATGAGGAGAGAGAGCAGGGTTGAGCAGAGCCACAGCTCTGTGTGTCTTATGGAGCAAAAAGCGGGGCTTGGGAGCGAGCATACACCAGTGTCCCCATAGCAAGTGGCTTGCTACTGGGGGCACTGGTCAAGGGGGAGGAGCCAGGAGCACCAGAGTTAGACCCAAGAAGAAGAGCATCGGGGCTGCTTTGTAGACAGCGCAGGTAAGTATAACATGTTTGTTATTATAAAAAAAAACAAAACAAAAAAACTTTATCATCACTTTAAGTAAGGCACAATCAAGAAGCACAGCCTACATATGCAGTGAAAAAAATAGTCCCCCACGTACATGTATAATTAATTACAGTCTATACAAGGGTTTTTGGGGTTTTTTTCAAACAACGAACAATGCTGATAAAGTGGCACTAGATGCAAAATAAAAAGTGACATATTATGCAGTCTGTTGTCTGGAGGGCATTCTCCACACATTCCTATGAAAGTCCCACAAGGACAGTGTTTCTTAAATTATGAGTCAGGACCCAAATTGGGTCACAGACAAGTTTAGGGTGGTTTGCACTTGACTAACAGATCAATGGAGAGTCATATCAAACTGACTCTGAATGACAGCACAGACACGTATAGGGCTTAAAGCACATGGGAGGTGGAGGGGAAAGAAGAATTTACCCAGACCCAAAACTAGTTGGAAATGCCTATTACTAAAAAAAAAAAAGTAAAACTAAGATTGTTTAAGTCTTGGCTTTATTACAAGCTTGCAGAAATGGGGAGAGCTCACAATGTGTTCTGTGTGGGGAAGTTCTTACAGTGAAGGAAATAAGTATTTTATCCCCTGCTGATTTTGAATGTTTGACCACTCCCAAAGAAATGATCAGTCTAAAAATCGAATGGTAGGTGCATTGTGACACTGAGCAACAGAATAGCAACACAAATTCAAAAGAAATGCATGTCTAACAAATTATGGACGGATTTGCATGTTCGTGAGGGAAATAAGTAGTAGAAGCAGTCTCTTAAAAGGAATGCTGCTAATCTCATTTTGTTACCTGTATAAAAGACACCTGTCCACAGGAGTAATCAAACAATCAGATTCCAAACTCTCCACCATGGCTAAGACCAAAGAGTTGTCCAGGGATGCCAGGGACAAGATTGTAGACCTACACAAGGCTGGACTGGGCTACCAAACTATTGCCAAGCAGCTTGGTGAGAAGGTGACAACAGTGGTGCAATCATTCGCAAACGGAAGAAACACAAAACAACTGTCAATCTCCCTAGGTCTGGTGCACCATGCAAGATCTCATCTCGTGGAGTGTCAATGATCATGAGAACAGTGGGGAATCATCCCAGAACTACACGTGAGGATCTTGTCAATGATCTCCAGGCAGCTGGGACCACAGTCACCAAGAAAACAATTGGTAACACTCTATGCCGTCAAGGATTAAAATCCTGCAGTGCCTGCAAGGTCCCTCAGTTCAAGAAAGCACATGTCCAGGCCCGTCTGAAGTTTGCCACTGAACATCTGAATGATGCAGAGGAGGACTGGTTGAAAGTGTTGTGGTCAGATGAGACCAAAATCGAGCTCTTTGGCATCAACTCGCCGTGTTTGGAGGAGGAGGAATGCTGCCTATGACCCCAAGAACACCATCCCAACTGTCAACAAATATTTTGCTGCTATTATGTCTCAGTGTTACAATACACCTACCATTCGATTTTTAGACTGATCATTTCTTTATGAGTGGGCAAACATTCAAAATTAGCAGGGGATCAAATACTTATTTCCTTCACAGTATTAATGAAAGCCTTAGATTGTAACAAGCTTAAAAAGGCATTTTATTTAGCAATTAACCACAGCATGAAAGCAATCCCAAGGAATTCTTCAATGACAATACAGAAAGCTTAGAAAAATCAGAATTCAACTGTGGAAGGGTAGGTCAACTTTCAAAACAAGGGTAGCTAGTTAGCGTCATACCACCAGTTTAGGCAATGTTCTGCAGTGGTTCTTGTATGCAGTTCTTGCTCCCCCATATGATGTAGAATGAATACATAACTGCATGAATTATTGCTCGAGTGTGTGTGTTGTTTTTGTATGGCTTTTATGACATTTGGGTAAGGCCTTACACTTGGGGGGGGTAAAAACAGCCAGTTGAGCCACATTTTTACAACATCCCCTAGCTGTAAAGGCAGCTATACAAGGGTATACACATACAACAACTACAATGCTTTGCATCATGTCACAAGACAAAAGCGATCCACCTGTTGCATTTGAGAGGCAGTGCCAGCTGACCAGCACGACCACTCAAGTGAATTGGGCCACGTCGCTGGTTGTGGCATGATGCTGCAACCTTTTAAGGGCTAAATTAGGTGGTGAGGAGGTGACATAACGCCTCCTTACTGACTGTCAAATGCTCTCTGAAGAGCAATCCACTGCAGATCACTCCTCAGCGGGCTAATGCAAATGTAAACAAGCCCTACAAATTCTCTTTTTGGGTCCCAGTATGATAATGATTTTCAAATTAAAAAGTTTAAAGGATAAGTTCACCTTTTGGACAAAAATAACAAATGCACATTTTTTCTCAGGTATGTGCATTTATTATTTGTTTCCAAAGGAGCCTGGAAAGCATTGTACCAGTGATCAGTAGATCGCTGATGCCATGCAGGTCTCCTGCAGACCTGTCAGAATATCAGTTTGCCGTACAGGATGTACGAGCTAGCATATATAGACAGGAAGCTTCAGTGAACTCCTCGGTGCTCCACAGCCCACAAAACTTTTTTTCTGAGTTTTGGGTGAAGTGGAGCAAGGGTTTATCCCCTGCCAGACTATTCACTGTTGCCTGTAACCTTATGGGGAGATTTCCTACTGGCACTACTGAGGTCGGGCGCCACCAATTTCCTAGTGTAGGGGTTGTTACGTTTATCATCTTGCGTCATTTGTTTGCAGTCAACAAACTAGCTAATACGCCAATGTAACCTTAAGGAAAAAAATAAAAACATTTTTACAGTTTACAATTAAACAAGAGAAATCAAATTCACATGACATTATTTACACACACTGGCAATGTTAATCTGGACTGCAATTCTCTTTTAATTCCAAAACCCTCCTACGCTAAGCAGTCCACCCACCCAGAATATACAAAGGAAGTACATTTTACCATCTCTGTGTCTTTAGATAAAGATATTAGACTCTTCTGATGACAATTACAAATGGATTATTTTGTAAAGATGTTTTATAAGTGTTCCCTGTCTGAAGTGATAAAATAGTAAGTGACCTATCGGTATTAGACATCTGGGTTATCCAAAAGAAACTGCCTATTAGCTTGTCATCTCAGATAAATATGATAAATTAGATCTAACCATGTCTGCCACCTAATTACTTGCCTGTGATAACAGACTCTGAACTGTCCAATCCTCATAGTGATTAACAGAAACTGACAAGATGGCAGATTACTGTTTTGACAGGCAATTTTCTACATTATTTAAAGGACGCCTAGTGTTCACCCCATTTGTTCTGTTAAATTGATCTAAATGAGCAGCACTTCTAAAATGAGGACAATAACCTTTCCTACCTGCATTAGTGCATTTTGCTTGCTCTTCTTGATTGTTTGGTGAGATAGCGGTGGCTTCAGCTTGGACTGGTTTCATTATCTCCTCTTGTGTTGTGTCCTCTGAGCTCACATCCAGCTTTGGCACTTCAGAATTCTGCACTGTATGTTCTTCAGGACATTTTGCAGAGCTGTCAGTAGCGCTGATCTCTTCTGTGTGAGTGGACAGGTGACGTTTAGCTTTCTCCAGGGCTTGCTTGAAAGATTCCCCCACGCTGTCAGCAGATGGTTTGGGATTATCCCCACTTTTCTTGTGATGTGATGATGATAGCCGTGAAAACTTTCCAGTGGATGAAGGCCTAACTTTTTTCCTGCGCAACTTGCCTTCATCCATGATGAAGATGACTTTACCAGGTAGTGTTCCAGCAGAAGAACTCTCCATGCTGTAAACATCAGAGGTGGTGCTGGCTTCTGATGCCCATGGAGTGGAACATCGGCTTGATGTAGTCTCCCAATGGATTCCGCTGTCTTCACATTGAACTGTTACCAGAGAGAAGTCCGGATTGGACATGAGACATTGGAGTTTTGGTTTCACATCTTCATCTTCTACTGCATCTTTCAAACTGAAGTGAAAGAAACCACAAAAAACTGTTTAATCAAAAAAAAAAAAACAAAAAAACACTGGGATAGGGAGCATTTATAAAATACCAAAGAAACTATATTGTTACACTTTCAACTGGGTACCTAGAATGTTTAAATGTGTGCTTATATTGTAGATATTTTATCATAAAGTATTTTGTGTGCCTCTGCAGATTTTTGGCTTTACATCTGACTGAGAAAAAAGGGTTCATTTACAGCAATTTTGAAAAGTACCAAACCTTAGTACTATTACTTTTTGCAAACATTACCATATATCTAGATCCTAAGAGGACATTATTTAATTTTCTAAAGCACAGTGAAAGGACTATGTACCAATTTTTCTTTTCATAAAATACTTTTACAATTTGTTTTATTCTTTTTGAATCTTTTTGCTGCTGACCATTTCTAGCCTTTCTCAACAACTTCCAGACTACACTCATTGCTATGGACCAACATCCTGACAGTGAAAACCATGGACCATGCTTGTGCAATGTGCCATCCTGGCAGTCTCCAGGACTGCCTGTGACAGATCAGACAATGCAGGTGCATAATTGGAAGGCAGTAGTCACCCCAAATCAAGTACCTGAATAAGGACCTTCATGCCAGGAATACCAAAGGTATCATTTTAATAAAAGCTGCATATTTTAATAAATTGACCGTGCTTGAAATCAGATTATCATGTGAAAGCTTACATGATATTTTAGTGATTGGGTTTAAATTTACTTTAATAAGCCTAACAATATTCAAATTGTTATGGCCAGGACTTAAGAACCACAAGATGATTATTTTATGCATTTGTACAAATTATATTCTTATCTACTTTCTTTGGTATGGGAGCAAGCAGAGAGGTCTTTCTAATGCACTGTACACATTTTATAACTTGATTGTGATAGACAGATAGATCAATATATAGATAGACAGACAGACTGATAGATTAGATCACAAAAGTCAAACATGATCTCCTTTCATTTTTGGTGCTAAGAGCTGTATTTTTTGGCAACACATTTCCCCAACGTTTCTCTACCCCATGACCTAACCCTGACTAGCAGACAACAATACTTCACTCTACGGACCTGAACCCTCATACATAACCTATCCCTTCAAGTAAACCAGTGGTTCTCAACCTTCCTAATGCCGCGACCCTTTAATACAGTTCCTCATGTTGTGGTGACCCCCAACCATAAAATTGTTTTCGTATTCACATACTCACATCACATCAACCACAGCTGAATATAAAAAGACCGAACAGCATCCAGATTAAGTTCCCATGGTACAGATATTTTTTTTGCAGTAGTTGATGATTTTACATTTACCCAGTAATTATAATTCATGAAGTGTCGTTTTACCTCCAATACTGGTGCTTTCAACACAGTAGCTGCTTTTAACAGAGTAGCTGCTTTCAACACAGCAGCTGTTTTATACACAGTAGCTGCTCTTTACACATGTGCGACTGGTCCACATAAATACATTATGGCGCCAACCCTGTCACATACACCTGTATTTGTACAGGGTGTATGTGATGGGGTTGGCGCGATGATGTCATCACGCCGGGTACTCATATGTGGGTGTATCTGCATGTGGGCTTATCCGCCTGGAGATGGATAGAGGAGCGGTGTCTCGGTTCCTAAGACCATCGGAAATATATAACCCAAAGGGGTTGCGACCCACAGGTTGAGAACTGCTGAAGTAAACCCTTAACTCTTAAAGTGAACCTGCGTATGCAGGGATGAATAGAGTCAGGCTTTTGTAATCTTTAAAGGAGAAGTACAGCCAAAGCTCTTTTGTGGTTCACAGGAGTGCAGTTGGCTCTGAACTCTTGTGACCCATTTTCAGCTGATGTCACTCAGCCGGTCTAGGCTGGGGAAAGATCCCGACTTTAATGTCGAGATCCACCCAAGAGTCTGGAGCGGCACCTGGGTCAGCCTCTCAGCGATCTGCTGAGAGCCTGAGCCGACCGCTCCCTCCCCCCCTCCACAGTCCAGCACTCCAGTGAGCTCAGAGCGGCAGTGAGAATTCAGCAATCATGTGATTGCCGAGTTCTCACACTTAGAGCTGGCGGGAGACCGGTGCTGCATCCACCTAAGTAAGTATGATTTCAAAGAGGAATGTCACTCTTCCCCTGCCCCCCCCCCCCTATTCTCAGAAACATACTCGTGCCCAGCGAATCCAGCATTGTCTGGTGTAACCTGTGACATATTCTCTTCTTATGACATCAAGAGGCTTCTTATGTCATCAGGAGGCTGGCTGCCGGTTCCCTGTTTCTTGCAGCTTGCCCCTGCGGTACGCCCTGCGGCACTTGCACAGTGTTGTGTAGATTGCTCCAAAGCCTCCTGAGATGCATGTAGTTGGGTATCCCAGGAGGCTTCAGGCATGGGGAAGAAATCTTTCTTGCCACAGTGAAAAAGACGGAAGCATAGGCTTCATTCCATGAAAAAAAGGTATTTTTTAAAAAAAAATTGGTATCTATAATTTTATGAAAGGAGAAGTGGAAGGACCATTATTCTATAAAGATGAAAAAAGGAGTGAAGGTCCACTTTAACCCCCAAAAGCCTCACCTGAAACCCCAAACTCTTGACCCTACTACTGACCTATTCTAATCAATAACCTAATCCCTACCATTAATTTAACTTCTATAGCAGCATGCATACAAGCATCTGCCCCGAAACATGGCAGTTATTGTTGTACTCTGTTCTTACTTTTTACTAGATGCTGATGCTATATAAACCACTAATAACAACATATAAAAAGTGGACTAGAATCAAAGTTACCATAACTGTCTTTAGACATTTACACACACAGTCAAACACATCTGCATTTTGGCTGTAAGTTTACTTAGATGTTGGAATCATTCTATTTGGTTCATGTGCTGTTCATGGTTTAAGATTTTAGAGCTGGTGGAGTGAAAATTATAGACAGACAGAAAAATAGACAGTGTATGTATAGATAGATGACTGTTCCATTTACGGAAAATTGATTAAAAAAACAAACTTTTCCGGTGGATACACAAAGGTCAAACATGTAACATGGGCACACAGCTGGATATGTGCTGATTTAAGTTATGCCACCAGCAAAGTGAACAGTAGGCATTTCACAATGACACAACATGCTGGCAGCACTAGATCATTAGGAGACCAGCAGCTTCCAGAAAGCCAAGGGAGGGGCAAAGGCAGACAACCCAGCTGTCACTTGCAAGGCCTCTTTAAATAGAATAAACCTTTTCACAGGCAGAGCAGACTTTGAAATAATAACCATTTACACTGGAGGGAAAAGCAGATTGTAGTATGTTCAGAGGATTTTCAAGTTTCAGCTTTGGCTGGTCCCTCACCTCCGCAACTGCCCTATAACAGGTGGAGTGCCCCCCACTTCCCAAGGCATACCTCTGTGCCAGCTCTTCCACTTCTTCAGTGTTGAGGACAGCCTCAGGAAGGGTGTCATCCTCTAGGCAGATAGAGACTTCTGAAGCTTTGTCACACTCAGGAGGACACAAACTTTCCATTCTTCTCCTTTTTTTATTTTTTATTGGGTGTTGTGGTGTTCCCCTAGATCAGTCCTCCCCTGAGTTCCCTGGAGAAACTGGTGTCATTGCAGCAGCGGGTACAGCCAGTGGCTTCTATTCTCCTGACTAAGGGGAGTCTTAAAATAGCCCCAGAGAGCAAACAGCCTGAAACACACATGCTTTCTTTCAGCACCCAGAACTGCTGGGCCTGCCTCTTGTAAATCTCTGTGCTGGGTCCTAGGGCCAGATTTGTTTGAACCACTGCTCAACGCTGGTTTTTTTATGCTACCATACATATACAGTAGTTAGCAGCGAGTCTAGGCACAAGAGTCATTTTTTGGCCCTCTGATGACACAATGAGATTGACTTGCTAAAACTGGAGAGAGCAAAATCTGGTGCAGCTGAACATGGTAGCTGATCATCTTCTAACTTCAGCTTGTTCAATTAGGCTTTGACAAAAATAAAACTGGAAGCTGATTGGTTTCTTTGCAGAGCTGCACCAGATTTTGCACTCTTCGGTTTTAGTAAATCATCCCCACTTTCTACGCACAAAACCTTTTGCATTTGTGGCTGGAAGCACAAATTCTAGAGAGTTGAGGAGATGGTAAGAAGAGTTACAATTCCCTTTATAGTTCAATTAACATGAACCCAACTCACTTTTCTCCTGCTTGGTGCTCCGTACAGTTGAAGTATTACTAAAGGCAAGACTTCTTTTTTAGTTTTGGACAGAGTGGAGAGGGATTAGAACACCTATCAGGTTTTTATTGCTGTCTGTGCCTCCATTAGGGAGATTCTCTTTATTTGTCATGTTTACTGTTATCACCAAAAGTGAAAGTCAGTAAAAATCCCAAATTTAGGGTTCTTCCCAGAACAGTAATAAAGGGGACATGATCCAATGGGAACACTAGTCAGCATGATATCTACATACACTCCAACATTTTAAAGAGAATACCTTGCCTAGGGACACCTTGCCATTTCCTCTTAACATTACTCTAAGTGTCTAAGTGTCCCTTTGTTCCTGGTACAAAGCTTGACAAACGTATTTACAAATGAAATAAAGGCTAATAAACATGCTATGTATTTTTTTAAGGAACAAAGAAAATTGACAATAACTAAACAGATAACATATTATCATTGTAAAAATTTAGGGGAGAAAGAAGTTGATATAAAATAAATTGGGTTAACTAGAGGTTAATAAGGAGTTGGGTGGCACTGTGGCTTAGTGGTTAGCATTTATGCCCTGCAGCACTTGGGCCCTTGAGTTTGCATTACTTTTCTTGCACATTCCAAACACATGCTTGTTGATGGGTAGAGGGCTGCTTTGTGTGTGGCCATAGCGAGCAGCGAAGCTGACCTCCGACGTACACCGACTTTCTGGGCAATGCAACTCTTTGCCCAATAACTCTTTCGGACGTGTGAGTGATGGGCAGAGACTGACCCCCTTTCCACCCTCCTGGCTGTGCAGCTTTACCCCCTCACCCCAGGAGTCCCAGAGGCTCCCTCATCTTTCTCAGGCCTGACAGCCAGGGTGCATCACTAGAACTCTCCTACTCTCTTCATAGAAGCGTTGTGACCAAATGAGGCACACCCAGGCTGGTTGTAGTTTAAAATGTGCATGAATTTATTAAAACAGCGCTAACTCACCCCCAAGTCAATTATTACTATAAATCACAACAATACATCAACTACAACACCCCCCATTATATACCGTGTTATTTATACCCAACCCCCCCCCCCCCCGAAAAAAAAACAAATGTATATATATATATATATATATATATATATAGGAGTATGCCAACCCAAATATATATATATTTATTTATGGTTGCAGTACTCTTTTATGTATTATATTGAATGGGGGAGAACAGGGAGTAAACAAAAAGAATATATAAAACAGTATACACATAGGACAAAATGGTAGTGTCCTTTACACTATATATGTTTTTTCTTTGAGAATAAGAAGAATTTAGGATACCCCTCTATGAAATAAGATTCTAGAATTTCTGTATAAAGATGATAGCAGGGAAAATAGTTTATGGGGGGGAGGTTTTTTTTTTTGTATTGGTATACTGGCTATTTAATCCCATGTATAGATTTCACTCCAAGGTATTTTTTCCCATTGTTTCTCATGGTAACACATGGCATAAATTTAGACATGTACAGTAGAATACCTTTTCAGTTGTGATAAAGGGAAATTAGAGTGTTGGATGTTCAGCTTTTTAATTATTTAATAACAAATTTATTTATTTATTTTTTATATATTATTATATTTTTTTGGGGGGATGGTAGAGTTCCTCTTTAATAGGTAGTGGCCCTTTAAGAATGGTTCGTACTTTTATGGATATGTTAAGGAGGTTGTTTGGGACCACCCATGGAGAATTAGATAGGCGTATGGTTACAGCCTGCCAGGGAGATTCAGAAATGTTTTTTGTTGATTTTCATGTAATTGTATATAAGATCGTAAGTGATGCAAATGATCACTATAAAAGAGCGTGGGAGGTAATGCACTTACTTCCTCCCCTAGAGAATGTCGAATGATGAAATGTGTAGGGCGGAGCTTGGATGTGACGTCACCACGCACGGTGGGTCGTAGATTGTGGCTGGAAGCAGCGGCCATAGACTGTCCTATTCCGAGATCTTTCCTTATATACTTGTGTCAGTGGTGACACTCAGAAATGTGAGTTTAAAAGAATGTTTTTTAATAAAGATTTTTTATGGTTTTACGCAATTTGAGCTTTTCCTCCTTTCTTCCTGATTCATGTGACCGTATGAGATACAAAGGAAGCGCTCAGCAGAAGGGTTTGAGAGAAGGAGTGATTTCTTGCTGTGAGTTTCTCAGAAGGGTGCCTGGGAGGAGAATTGATTTCCTGCTGCAGGTCCTTACTCCCAGAGTTCACAATATAATACAAATTATAATATTACCAGCCTGGAGCTCTGGTGAGTTTATCTAAATTATCTAGTGGTGGAAGAACACTTTTTGGTGGTGCATGATAAGAAGACACACAGAGTTTGTTTTTTGATATTTATGCTGGACTTTTTATATACAGTTAGGTGCATATATATTTGGACACAGAAACAATTTTCATACCTTTGGCTCTGTATGCCACCAGAATAAATTAACGAAACAATCCAAATGAGTTTGAAGTGCAAACTTTCAGCTTTAATTCAAGGGGTTGAACAGAAATATCAAGTAAAAATTTTAGGAACTGCAATCATTTTTATACAGTCGCTCCATTTTCAGGGGCTCAAATGTAACTGGACAAATGAATATAATCATAAATAAAATGTTCATTTTTAATATTTTTGTTGAGAACCCTTTACTGGCAATGACTGCCTGAAGTCTGGAACCCATGGACATTACCGAAGACTGGGTTTCCTCCTTTCTGATGCTTTGTCAGGCTCTAACTGCAGCTGTCTTCTGTTGTTTTTTTGTTTGTGAGTCTTTCTGCCTTTAGTTTTGCCTTCAGCAAGTGAAATGCATGCTCAATTGGGTTGAGATCAGGTGATTGACTTGGCCATTGCAGAATATTCCACTTCTTTTCCTTCAAATGTTCCTGGGTTGCTTTTTCAGTGTGTTTTGCATCATTGTCCATCTGTATTCATCCGGCTGCTAATGTCCTCTGTCACATCATCAATAAATACCAAAGACCCAGTGCCACTGGAAGCCATGAATGCCCATGCCACCACACTGCCTCCACCATGTTTTACAGATGACTTTGTGTGCTTTGGATCATGGGCTGTTCCAGGGGCGGACTGACAACTCATGGGGCCCCCGGGCAATAGGGGATCATGGGGCCCCTGTGTCCTTGCCGAAACTCAAAAAAAGCCTATGAAAAAGGTACCAGAGGCATCTCATGGGGCCCCCTACTGACCCCGGGCCCTCGGGCAGTGCCCGAGTTTCCAAATGGTCAGTCGGCCCTGGGCTGTTCCAAGCCTTCGCCACACTTTTTTCTTCCTGTCATTCTGGTACAGACTAATCCTAGTTTCATCCGTCCAAAGAATGCTTTTCCAGAACTGGTCTGGCTTTTTTAGATGTTTTTTTGGCAAAACCTAATCTGGCTTTTCTATTATTCAGACTTATGAATGGTTTGCACCTTGTGGTGAACCCTCTGTATTTACTCTTGTGAAGTGTTCTCTTGATTGTAGACTTTGACAGTGATACGCCCACCTCCTGGAGAGTGTCCTTCACTTGCCTGGATGTTGTGAATGGGTTTTTCTTTACTATAGAGAGGATCCAACGGTCACCCACCACTGTTGTCTTCCGTGGACGCCCATGCCTTTTTATGTTGCTGAGCTCACCAGTGTGTTCTTCTTTCCTCAGAATGTATCAAACTGTTGATTCGGCCACTTCTAATGTTGCTGCTATCTCTCTGATGGATTTGTTTAGTTTTTGAAGCGTTACAATGGCCTGCTTCATTTGCATGGACAACTCGTTTGAACGCATAATGTAGGTTCACAGCAATAGATTCCAAATGCATATACCACACTTAGAATCAACTCCAGACCTTTTACCTGCTTAATCAATGAATAAATAATGAAGGAGTAGCCCACACCTGGCCATGAAACAGCTTTTGATTCAATTGTTCAATTACTTTTTGTCCCTTGAAAAAAGGGGGGATGGCTGCTCTTTAAAGCTGTAATTCCTAAACCCTGTACATACCCTCAAAGTAAACCTGAGAGTGTGCACTTTCAGACCATAGCCATTATAGAACTATAGCTTGAATATGTTTTGGTAAATACCTGAAAAAAACTAAAATTGTGCCTGTGTCCAAATATATATGGACCTAACTGTATGTTGGAGCATGCAATTTTTTGAGGCACTACCAAAAAGAAAATAGCTGCTTCCCTATTACAGCCAAAGATCCCCCGTGTTAATCTGTGTTGCAGTCTGATATTATTCTCCTTGGTTTGGTTGTAGTTTAAGTTCTTTTACTGGAAAGCAGCAATTAATAACATGGCTCTTCTCGGGTCACACACCCCAACACAGTTCCATGGCAACA